CATGCAGTTGTGTTCATACGCAGTTAAACTTGCTGAGTCTGGCTGATCATCCCATTGTGCTTTTTGTTAACGTGTGCTGCTCCAAAGGAATGAGAAAAACAAGAGCAGCAGTTCTAGAAATGATTAAGTGGGGGTGACTTTTCAAATGTCATTTTCAATAGAGGCAAGAGTTAGAATCTGAGAACAAGAAACTGAAAAATGACCTTAACGAGCTGAGGAAAGCTATAGTGGATCGGGTGGCCCAGAACAACTCTTCTAACGATGTCCACGACAGTTACAGCCTCCTCCTGAATCAGCTCAAGTCTGCTAACGAAGAGCTGGAAGTGCGGAAGGAAGAGGTGCTTATTCTCAGGACACAGATTATAAAGGCAGCCCAGCAAAAAGATGCAGGCAGAAATATGGTAATGGACAAGAAAAGCAGGTCCTTCCATTTGTGTGTGTTTGTGTGTGCTTTCTTTTCACCATGTTGCCAACTATCACTGTATCTCAATGGTCGGGCACAGTGGTTTACGGCAAGTCCAAAACCAAAAACGGTCAGGAGGATTCTTTTGAAACAAATTGTTCCAAGTTGCATTGCTGTCTGTCTGCATTGACTGAACTGATATCAAAGACAAACTGATCAGAAGAAGGGTCTGGGCAAATGTAAGTGACCAATCCCCTGTCGTCATCGTCCCGGTCCATTTTACAAAATATGAATTTCCCCTTTTCAGTTCTGGTTTCTCAGTTCTAGGATGGCTCAGCCACCAATTTCCATTCTTCATATTAAATTGGTGTAGTAATCATTCATTTTTCCCATCATATTTTCGTGAGGTGAGTTAGAGGAATCTTAAAAGATAATTCTTGGTGTTCTCACTAAACTACAACTCCCAGGTTTCTTTGGAGGAATAAAACCGAAATAGGTGTGTGTTGAAAATCTGCCCTCCGTCTTTCCTCTTAACTTCTCTTCAGGCCGAATTCCACTGGGCCCTTCCAGTTCACTTTCCGACTTCCTTCAGACATTGAATGTACCTTGTCGCAAATGTAATAATAATGATTGTGAAACCTTTTGCATGTCAAAAATGTTGCATGTATGACCAGTGTAGAATTAGCAGAGCATGTGGGGAGGGAAATGGAAATTATTGACCGGGAGGAAATATTTCATGGTAGGCTTTTTCTTTTTCAAGGAGTCAAACAGCAACATCCAAACCAGCTGGCCCAATAGTGACAAGCATGTGGATCCAGAAGATGCCATAGAGGCCTATCATGGAGTGTGTCAGACAAACCGGTAAGCCTGTCTTTGTTCATCCATTACTACTGGTCAACACAAGTTGGAATCTGGACCCCCTGTTCATTTCTAAGTAACTGAGGGGGGTGTCATCAGATGCAGGGTGCCAGCAACAGGTACAATCGTAAACAAAAATATGGATTGCTTCTTATTACAGAAGCATCAAACTACAAACTGTTCAGTGTGTATCCTTCTTGTTTGTGGCCTTTTCACACAAGCACAGAATCTGCTGTTTCATGGGATATTGGTATCCTGAGCATCTTGGCTTCCCTTTCCCTAAAATAAATTTCTAGACCTCATACATTGTGGAGAACAACTCAGAAACATTTCAATGGTATCTGAGAGAGGCTCAAAAAGCAAGAGGGGGTTGTTGTTTTTTTAAAAAAAGAATTGCATTGCCCCTAGAAAGGCTCTGAATAATTTTTTCCAAAACTTGGCTTTAACTGTTGAAGATCTGGGGTCAATTTGCACGGCCAGGTGAGTTGTACTGAGAAATGAACTTGCGGGGGGGGGGGGTGGAAGTATAGAATTAGGCCCGCGGTAAAGCAGTTGTGTGACTCTTCTTACACACATAGAGATTGCAAGTCAAAACTGTGTCCTCGGGTATTTTTTACATCACAGCTCCCATCACCCCTAACAGGGGATGATGTGGACTGTAGCCCCAACAACATCTAAGGACCCAATAACAAGGAAGGCTCCTTAAGCCCTCCTTCGCTAGCTTTGCAGTGATGGTGCTTGCATTGCAAATTAGATACATAATGAGTTGACCACTTTGCACGCCAGGTTTTGACAATGGACTACTCAGACTGCTCCTTCATCATACCAAGTTGGTCATGTGAATTAGTTTGAAATAACAAACCTGAGCTTTTTTTTGCGGATAGGAAAGAAATATGTTGCAAACAGGACACTGTTTCTTACATCTTGATCCCCTTGCATTGTCTACTGTTTTCTTACCTCCAAAGTTACTTCCTTTTTATGTGGATGGGCAGATAGACAGATAGATATTTTAAAATGCCAGTTGGGTGTCCTTCCCTCTCCCAGACATGTATGTCCCTCCCTTCTAATGCATACGCATTACTCAGGATAACGTACAACAGTTAAAATGTCCCAAGCTCAGCCTGGCCACTGAGATCTAGCTCCAAGGGCCTTCCTCCTTGGAGGGCCTTCTGCTGGTTCCCTCGCTGTGAGAAGCAAAGTTACAGGGAACCAGGCAGAGGGCCTGTCGCGAATTCTTTGCAGCACTTTAGCAGAAATGCTCAGCGTTCCAGGTTCTTCAGTGCAGTATATTTATTGTGAGCTATATATACAAATATGGGACATGGGTGGCGCTGTGGTCTAAACCACAGAGCCTAGGGCTTGCCGATCAAAAGGTCGGCAGTTTGAATCCCCGCGACGGGGTGAGCTCCCGTTGCTTGGTCCCTGCTCCTGCCAACCTAGCAGTTTGAAAGCATGTCAAATGGCAAGTAGATAAATAGGTACCGCTCCTGCGGGAAGGTAAACAGCGTTTCTGCATGCTGCTCTGGTTCGCCAGAAGCGGCTTAGTCATGCTGACCACATGACCCGGAAGCTGTATGCCGGCTCCCTCGGCCAGTAAAGCGAGATGAGCGCCGCAACCCCAGAGTCGGTTACAACTGGACCTAATGGTCAGGGGTCCCTTTACCTTTATATATACAAATATCTACAGGCTATAATACACGAGCAGTTCATACAGTCAAATAGAGTATCTGGCTGCACCTTAAGGCAAATAGGAAGACCTCTAACTCTCTCTCTCTGACTACACTCCTCTACACCACCCCTTTACTGCTGGACAGGTTTCCCTTTTAAACCGATGACAGCCAATCAACTGACAGCACATTACTGTTGAGTCATTCTGACCCAGCAATTCCATAGAAAGTATTGCAGGCTGATGCAATCAGCCAGTTGCATCAGCTAGCAAACTCAAGCCTGCAGACTTGCTATCTCACACAGCATTCTGTGAATCCCGACAGGGCCTTCTTGGTAGTTGCGCCTGCTATGTGGAACACCCTCCCATCAGATGTCAAGAAGACAAGTAACTATAAAACCTTTAGAAGACATCTGAAGGCAGCCCTGTATTGGGACAGTTTTTAATGTTTGATGTTTTTGCATATGCTGTTTCCCCCGAGGCTGGAAAAAGTGTTAAAGAAAAGCAAACCACCAGCTTTATAATGGTAAAATGAGCTAATATATACACATCTTGTGTCCTTGGAAGCCCATCACCCACATTAGCTGCTAAATTTGTATCTTAACTCTCAGCCATGATTCCTCTTTGATTACAGGTTTCCTGCAGACTGAGCTTAATACCCTGAATTTGTGTCTTCCTTTTACAATAACAGAAAAGAGGGAGAGAGATTTACACCACTCCCATGAGTATCCTCCCATCCCTTTATCCATGAAAGCACGCTAAAACGAAAGTGGGAGAGAATAGATGGGGAGGGGGGAGACTGGATAGATAAAGCTGGAACATTCATAAAATTGCTGCAAGCAATCTAAATACTTATTTGACTGTAATTAGATAGCTCCATGTTCATAGTATTCCCCAGATCCCATCACCTTTCCTACCTTCTACAAACTTAAGCTATCATCTGGGTTTGTAAATGTTGTGGAAGCAAAGGAACTCGTCCAATGATAATAGTATACCTTTTCTTTATTTTCACTTTTTATTTTATGTTGTTCAATTAAACCGTTCTTTGAAAATAATAATTAAAAGAAAACGATGGCTTCCCAAATCCAGTTTTGCAGAGATGTGTAGAGAGAAGCTGTTGCTGCGAATCATAGAATTGTAGAGTTGGAAGGGACACCAAGGGTCATCTAGTCCAACCCCCTGAAATGCAGGAATCTCAACTAAAGCATCCATAGCAGATGGCCATCCAACCTCTCCCTAAAAACCTCCAGTGAAGGAGAATCCACCATCTCCCGAGGGAGTCTATTCCACTGTCGAACAGCTCTTACTGCCAGAAAGTTCTTCTTGCCGTTTAGTCACAAGTCACCAGCCGCTCACTAGAGAAGGCTACCAAACCACTCTCTTAGAAAGTGGAACTCAGAGTGGGATCCATACTGGGAACCCTTGGCAACTGGCCAAGTTTCTTGAATTCCAGTCCATTTGACAATCACTGCCGTTCGGCTCTCTGTCCTGAACTCTTGTTGCTGATGCATCTAAAAAGCTTGTGGTCTGTTTTGCAACAGACTTCGGCATCTTTAAAACACAGAAAGTCAACCTGGAGCCCTTCCAGGTGTTGTCGGACTACAACTCCATCATCCCTCACTTTTGACTGGGGTTCATGGGAGTTGGGAGTTTACCAGCACTACATTGGCTACCCCTGCCCCCAAGTAATTTTGCATGTTGCCTACAGTCCTTAAGCAGCCTTTTCTTCCACAATCTGCATGTTTCCACTCTGTAGATCTACTCTGTGAATGTTTCCTTTCTGTCAGATCAGCTCATAAACAGCAGGACAATATCAATTTAAAAGCATAAGCTCAAGAGAGATGCCTCCACAGGGGTTTGCTTCCTTGATGGATGCAAGCCCTAACTGCTTTCCATTTGCAAATGGAGGTTCAGGAGTTATAAATGCCCAGGGCTTGTCATTTACCAGACTTTATATTCAAGGCTAATGGCATGTCCTTGGATTAGTTTCATTCCACAATAATCCAGGAATTGGGGGGGGGGGGGTTGGCTTCCTTCTACAAATGTCAGCTGTGTGCCAAACTAGGGGTAGGGGGATAGCTCAGTCAGTAGAGCATGAGACTCTTCATCTTATGGCTGTGGGTTCGAGCCTCATGTTGGGCAAAAGATTTCTGCATTTCTGGGGGTTGGACTAGATGACCCTTGTGGTCCCTTCCAATTCTACAATTCAATGATTCAATGACCTGCCTAGCCAGCACAGGGATTGTACCAGTTTTTATGCTGGCAGCCCAAATGCACCTACTGCGACTGTCCCAGGAACCAGGTAACAAAACTGGTGACAATAGGACATACCTCTCCAATAGTTTGTACATGTTCCATAACATATTTTCCCCATAATTTTCTCTTCGGTAGAGCCATTGCTTGCGGGGAGGCATCTGTTTGAGTCTGCTCCTGATTTGAGCTGTAGCATTAACACTCAGAGGAGACGAGTGGAACAGTATAAAATGGTGGGAGGGTGCCAGCATCGCAAAGCTGGAATTGTTTTTGAGCATCTCGGTTGCTTTATTTCAGGGCAGTGAGGCAACCCATTTTTCTCGCAGAGCGAAGGGGTGCGTCTCCCATGGTGCCCCTAATGTGGCAGCGAGACCCAGTTCTTCAGTTAATTGCTCTTCTTCCCTTTTGTAATATCTGAATTTGCGGTAGTTGAGAGCACTGCAACTCATTGAACATAAATGGGCAAGTGTTCTGTTGCTAAGCAGATGATGTTGCTGATGATGTTGTGCCAAAGGACCATGGCTGGTCCTTGCTTGACCCATCTCTCTTAAGCCACAGCTGGAATAAGAAAATGTGACTGCAGGTGCTACACTCAAACCAGCTGGGCAGTTTTTAAGGGCCCTAGCACTAAAATTCAGGCCCTTTATGGACTCGAACACAGTCAGTTGCTATATTCTCAGTATAATCAAGGTTTGCCAATGTAGCATATGTCTCTGCATTTGTTTAGCAACTGAAAAATGCTCTTCTGTACACCTCTTTATGTGAAATACAGCTCAGGTTTGACATTGGGGCAGATGTGATCTCCTAGTTGTCAACACTCTCCTATTAATGTCGGCCATTGGAGGAGGGGTGTGTGTATGTGTGTGTGTGTGTGAGAGAGAGAGGAGAGAGAGAGAATTTCTTGGGTGGGTTTTGAGGGTAAGATGCCAGAAAACTGTTCTTAACAAGACTGACAAAGTTGTAACATGTGGGATGGGTGGTTCACAGCATTATCACCTTACTGTAATGGTGCTTTTTCTTTAAAAACTGCAATTCTGTGCAGACATCAAGCAGTGGGGGCGGGGGTGGTCGTGATTGCACCTGATAGCAACACATTAATGATAATATTTTCATAGAGGTGCATAACAGCAGGTGCGGTCATGATTTTCCTCCCTACCACCTTACCCACTACAATGTGTGGATTGTAATGTTGGCACAGGGCTTGTCTGCTTGAATGCAGTTGAGGCCTCCTTATTCTTCCCATCTCTTGCAGCTGACACTTCTTTTATCTTTCTTTCCTGTCCACTTCTGTTTCCCTTTCCTCTGTCCTTTCTTTCTAGCAAGACTGAGGACTGGGGGTATCTGAATGAAGATGGAGAGCTCGGCTTGGCCTATCAGGGTCTAAAGCAAGTTGCCAGGTCAAATACTTTTACATCTTTTCCTTCTCCTTTCGGACCTTTTCCTACTGTCTCTTTCCAGTGTTTCTCCTTCCCCTCACTTTCATGTGGAACTGGAAATGGACATAATTCACAAAGACCCCAAACTGGATTCCTTTGGAGCTGTTTTGATGTCAAGTCCAGCTTTGCCACTTGGGTAGTGACTGGAACCAGATCTGTGTGTGAGGGATACAAGAGACAGGCTGGGCTGATTGATTGATTGATTGATTGATAGCATCAACTATCACTCATCAACAAATAATGGTGGGCACACGGGCATCCATGGGCATCCTGTTGGCAACTTCTGGGTGCTGGCCAGCCAGCTAAATTAGTTTTGAGTTTTCTAGAGTGGAAACGGTCGCCTGCCAGGGCTAGCCAGCCCTAAATCTGAGGAGTGTGTGTGTCTCTTTTTTCTTAAAGTGGCTAAGGTAGTTCTTCCTCTAGAATAAATAATGGTAATTAAGGATATTTGCATACAGTAGCTTATTTCTTGGATATTTATGCAAAACTTTTAAAATGTTTCTTCTGGGCATCAAATGTTGCACACCCTTCAGCATGCATGCATATTGCAGTATATCATTGTGTGTGACTAATACAGATAGTCACTATTTCAATTTCTGTACACTACTCTATCATCAATTTGATATGGTAGTGAAATAAAAGAATGATTTCAGCCATATATCTTCATATTTTCCCGAGGCACCTTGTCACTTGTTCCAGTTGTACAGATGTTATTTCACACACTAGCGAGTTGTAGATGCAAAAGCCTCCGATCAATTTTCTAAGTATCTTATGTTTTCAGTTTATTCCATTCCCATTATTACTAGGGAGTGGGGGGGGTATTTGGTGTGTTTTTTTGTAAGGAACAGCACAGCTGAGGAGAAAAGAGGACAAGTCAAGGGCATGAAAGTGCTTCCAAGCCTTTTTCTCTCACACATCTACGAGGTCTAAAAAACCTGCTCTTGTATTTAAATCTAGTGCTGAGATTCTTAGAAGGCAGGTGCTGCCTTTGCTTGTGCATGTGGATATGCACACAAAGCCTGGATATGAACAGAAGGGCCAATTCAGGATTTTGTGGACCTTAAGCGTATCTTCCGTACGTGCCATCCCCTTTCTTAAAGTAGAGCCCATAATCTGGCACTGACAACCTAGCAGGTATAGCATGCCTTGTGCGGAGATGTCTTTTGCATGAATCTTGACTAAGGCAGCCACAAAGAGCTTTATGCATGCAGTAATTCAGTTGCATTGCAACTGCCGGTGTCCCTTACCATGTGCTGGTTTCTATCTCAAACATCCCAGCATTTCACATCTTTGCACTACTGTGTCCTACTGTTTTAGCCCAAATCCAGCTTTCAGCATGCTAATTTTTTGTTGCTGTTGTTGAATTCGGTTTATAGTAGCCTACATACACAAAACCACCTCGCAGCAGTCTGGCATGTTGGTACCCAGGCAAACTTTTTCCCAGGGAGTGAGCCAGTCATGTCAAGAAGTCCACCTACAAGGATGCCTTTGGAACCTGGGCCAAAGCTGCTTGACCCTTGAATAGCTTCCCAGGTTGCCTCGCTGCTGATCACAATCCTATATTAGTAAACTCAGTGTCTAGAAACCGCTGAGTCTACATTTGCAGGTAGAGTCCCGAGGAGTGGACTGTACCACTTCAGACTCCAGCTATCTGCAAGTAGAAAACTAGTAAATCAGAGAGAAGGCTGCTTTGATTTTCTGTTTGTGGGGAGGCCTTTTTAAGGTATATATGCTGATAAAACAAGCACAGGGAGCCTTTAAAAAACATGGGGGAAGAATTCTGAAGGCACCCCACCCCCCAAACACACACTTGCAATGTGAAGTGGTTCAACCTACTCAAAACCTTAGGGTTCTACCACCTGCCTAGATCAGGCTGTCAGAACAGATTGATGAATGTTTGCAGCCTTGCTTTTAGAATCTCTTGTGAAAGGTTTTTTTGGGGGAGGGGGTTAAGTAGCAGAGGTTTCAATTTAGCAGACTCTAATTGGCACCTTTAAGAATCAATTTAGCTTACCAAACGTTAACCTTACCAGCACACCCAACAGTGCAGGCATATACGGGAAAGCTGTAACCTTTGTCAGGGATGAATCACACTTTTCGCTGGAGTGGGTGGGAAAGGAGTCAGAAATGCAAAGAATTGTTTCGCGCAACCCCTGGTATGGAAAGTGCTGCATGTTCCTTAATTTATTGTTTGTGCAGAATTGCACAGTGTGCATTCATTTAGAAGAGGGTTATTTTTTTGTGATTTAAAGCCTCTCTTCCACTTTGCTATTGAAAACCATGGTTTTAATTTCCCTTTGGCACAGTCTGTGTAGGTTTTCTTTCACCCTTTTAACTTCCATTATTCAAGTTGCCTCATTTTAAAATAAAATCATGCATATATATATATATATATATATATATATATATATATATAATAGGCATTTCAGACTTTCTTGTACAGCAGGATACAACAGAGTTCATAAATGTAGTGTTTAGGTTTTCAAAATGACTTAATGGCGTTTTGAGCCTCACCTGGAGACCTTTTAAAGAGACCTCAGAAATAATTCATATCTCATCTTCTGAATAAGAGACCAATTCAGAAAAATAATAGCTTGACAATTTGAGGTACAAGACAAATAAGGTGATACCTTTCGGAGGGTGGAGGGACCAGGTTCCCTTGGGTTAAAATGTATCCAAATTCAGAATGTGTTCACCATTCTCTGGAATCCCCTGATACTCCAGACCCACAGAAATGTGGAGATAGCAGGATCTGTGGCAACATAACTTGCAGGCCTAGTTGTTTATAGGGAGGAGATTGTGGGATTCACCCAACTTCCTTGCAGCAGTTTTCCAGGAAAAGCAGTTTTTAAATAAGAACTTAAGTTTCTAATAAGAACAATAGGTCAACAGCCATAAGAAGAACCCTCCTGGATCAGGCCAGAGACCCTTATAGTCCAGCATCCTGCTCTCACAGTGACCATCCAGGTGTCTATGGGAGAAGCTTGCAATCTGGACTCGAGGTAGAACATAGCCAACTTGACTAGTAACTACAGATGGCTGTATCCTCCATTCGTATGTCTAATTCGCTTTTGAATCCTTTTCATGTTGGTGGCCAGCGCCAACTTTTGTGGGAGCAAATTCCAATGTTTAACTGTGCTCTAAAGCACAGGGGTTTTTTCCTGCAAAGGTCCCCGGCACGTGTGCTTTGGTCTCTTTGAACCTAGCACTTTCGTGGCCTACTTCTACCCCTATTCAGGCAATCTTAAACTTTTTTGCACTCATTCTGTAGGGAAGATTTATCCTGAACTGGACACTCCTTGGCTCCTATGAGCTTTCCCCCAGCGATCAGTCTCTACCTCTGAGAAAGATGAATGAGGGCTACCCCTCTCTACAAAATGATGGAAGCATTATCTATCTGATAGAGGGGGTCCTGGGCCAATTGCCTTTGGCCCCTTCCCCAATTCTGGCCAC